GTCCCCTCAGGTTTTTTACAGAGATGTTTGCTATAGGACACAGGTGCTCACTGGAGACCCAGAGAGAGACAGAGAGAGAGAAAGTGAGAAATCAGCCCCTAGGACAGATGGCCACCTTGCAATCTCTTCTTCATTCTCCTCTTGAGATTTTGGGCACACATGTGTACAGTGTGGGTTTCAAGCCATTAGGTCTGGGACTTGAACCGTGATCAACCATGTGGGAGTCCAGTGCTTAATCCGTATGCCACGTGCTGGCCCCCACATAAGTTTTAAACTAAAATAATTTTAAATTTTATTTAACTTTATTTACTTATTTTAATTTGACCAGAGAGAGACAGAGTGAGAGCGAGAGAAAGAAAGTGAGACAGCAAGCTGTCAGGTCCAGGACTCTAACCACAGTTGGCCATGTGGGAGTCCAGAGCCCTTAACCAACCCACCACCTGCTGGACCCCTAGATTACTCATGACAGAGCAAGCTGACAGATCCGGGACTTGAACTGCAGTCGGTCATGTGTGAGTCCAGTACCCTCAACCACCCTATCGCCTGCTGGCTCCAAATTATAATTTTAATTTTTTTTTTTTGAGAGGTTTTCACTATGGGCAAGTGTACTCGTCAGAAAAACAGAGACTGAGAGACAGAAAGCGAGTAATCACCCCCAGGGGGGGATGGCCACGCCGCAATCCCTTCTCCTCCATTCTCCTCTCGGGATCTTGGGCACGCACGCACACGCACCTGGGGTGAGTTTAAACCACCAGGTCCAGGACTTGAACTGTGGTCAGCTACATGAGAGTCCAGAAACAGCCATTACGCCACCTGCTGGTCCCCAAATTTAATTTTTTAAAAAGTAATTTTGCCTGCAGGGGGACAGCAGGTGGCGTGGTGTTGAAGGGTGCTGGACTCCCACATGGGCAACCGTGGTTCGAGTCCCCGACTTGGCGGTTTGCTTTGTCACTTTCTCTTTTCCTCCCTCTCTCACTCTGTCTGGTTAAATTAAAATAAATAAATGCATAAATAATTCTTAAAAACATGATAATCTTGCTTGTGGGCATAAGGCAGAGCAAGGCAGGGGAGTGAGAGGGCTCCCTGGATGACCATGCCAGAATGCTTTCTACTCCACGTCTTTCCTTTTGGGAACTTGGGCGCACGCACGCGCACACACACACACACACACACACACACACACACACGGACGCCCAGTGTGTCTCTCAACCTGCCAGGTCTAGCACTTCAACCACGCGGGTTATGTGGGGTCCCACTGCCTTTGCCACCAAGCCACCAGCTGGCCCCACCAAACTTTGTGTTTGTTTTTAGAGAGGTATTTTCCTACAAGGGTGCATGTGCTCGCCATAGAGACAGAGAGAGACAGAGACCGAAAGTGAGAAATCACTCCCCCCAGGGGGGATGCCCACACTGCAATCCCTTCTCCCTCCTCCTATCTCCTCTGGGGATCTTGGATGCACACACACATGCACCTGGCGTTTGAGTTCCAAGCTGCCAGGTCCGGGACTCGAATCACAGTCAACTATGTGAGAGTCCAGCACCATAACCATTATACCATATGCTAACCCCCATTTTTTAAATGTAAAGAATTAAAAACAAGGGAATCAGCAGTTAGTGTAATGGCTATGTCGCTGGACTCCCACGTAGTCGACCGCAGTTCGCGTACCGGACCCGGTGGCTTAAAACTCACGCCGGGCGCGTGTGCGTGCGTGCGTGCGTGCCCAAGATCCCAAGAGGAGAATGGAGAAGGGATTGTGGCGTGGCCATCCACCTGGGGGGTGATATCTCACTTTCTGTCTCTATGTCTCTGTCTGTCTGGTGAGTGCACGTGCTCTATAGCAAAAACCTCTCCAAAAAAAAAAAAATGTTTTTTATTCTTTTTTTTTTTTTTTGCTATAGGGCGTGTGCGCTCGCCAGACAGAGAGAGACAGAGAGACAGAAAGCGAGAAATCACCCCCCAGGGGGGATAGCCACACCGCAATCCCTTCTCCTCCATTCTCTTCTCAGGATCTTGGGCACGCACACACATGCGCCTGGCGTGAGTTCCAGCCACCGACCGGGTCCGGGTCTTGAACCGTGGTCGACTATGTGGGAGTCCAGTGACATAGCCATTACGCTAACTACTGGTCCCAAAAACAAAATTTTTTTTTAATGGTCCAGCCAGTGGCACGGTGGTTAAGGTGCTAGACTGTATACGCCCAGCTCAGAGGTTCGACTCCTGGACCCAGAAGCTTAAAAATCATGTTGAGGGCCTGGCAGGTGTGGTGGTTAAGGATGCTGGACACTCCCACATGGCTAACTGTGGTTTGAGTCCTGGACCTGGTGACTTCCTTTCTCACTTTCCCTCTTTCTCTTTCTCACTCTGTCCCTCTCTGGTCAAATTAAAATAAATAAATAAATAAATAGTTAAAATTAATTAAAAAAAAAAAACAAAAAAACATGTTGGGCTCCTATGCGTGCATGCCCAAGATCCCGAGAGGAGAATGGAGGAGAAGGGATCGTGGTGTGGCCATCCCTCCTGGGGGGTGATTTCTTGCTTTCCTTTCCTTTCCGCTATGTCTGTCTCCCGTGAGCTCACACACTTTATAGCAAAACTAAACAAATAATAATAAAATAAAATAAGGCCATAGAGGCATGGGCTCCGTTATATGAAGGTCAGAGTCTTCCGGCCCAGGGACATTAGGCCTAGCCCCTGGCCCAGCCCCCAAGGCCCCACCACAGAGGTCTCCACCCAACTTCCCTGACCAGCTTGGGGGATGTGGTCTCCCACAGACTAACGTTCCCCTTTGAGAGTGTTACAACCAAATCTTCCCCACGTCTCTGTGCCTGCCGTCCTCTGAGTGTAAACAGTCAGGCAGTCCCCCACAGGAAGGGCGGCCTGGGTGGCAGGAAAACAGAGGTGCCCAGAGACCAGCACATGGTGTAATGGCTATGTCGCTGGACTCCCATGTAGTCGACCATGGTTCGAGTCCCGGACCTGGTGGCTTAAATTCACACCGGGCGCGTGTGCGTGAGTGCCCAAGATACCGAGAGGAGAATGGAGGAGAAGGGATTGCGGCGTGGCCATACCCCGTGGGGGGTGATTTCTCGCTTTCTGTCTCTCTGTCTCTGTCTTTCTGGTGAGCACACGCGCCCTAGAACAAAACCCTCTCAAAAAAAAAAAAAACAAACACAAAACAAAAACAAACAAACAAACAAAAAAACAGTGGTGCCCAAGGGGGAGACGGTGGGGCCAGCACTCCAAGGCTCCTCTCCCTGTGATGGTGACTTGACTGGGGCGACAGAGCTGGGCTTCTCCTCTGTTCTCTTGGGATCTTGGGCATGCACGCATACATGCCTGGCGTGAGTTTTAAGCCACCGGGTCCGGGATGCGTACAGCGGTCGACTACATGGGAGTCCAGTGACATAGTCATTACGCTAACTGCTGCCCCCCCCTGCCCCCCCCGTTCATTCTTGATCCCACAAACACTGGCCAAGCGCAGACACCATGTAAGATGTGAGGATGAAGCAGAGACATGACAGGCAAGGTCCCTTCCCTATGGAAATCCCTAGTCCACGGGGGACACGGCTGCATAGGTTCATCTACAAGAAAGGCCGGCAGAAGAGACAAAAAGTGCAGAGACCTGGGACCAGCAGTTAGCGTTATGGCTATGTCGCTGGACTCCCATGTAGTCAACCGTGGTTCAAGTCCCAGACCCGGTGGGGTAAACTCTACCAGGCCCGTGTG